TTTGCAAGTTTTTTATCTGTATCAATAACAGTAGCGATCACTACAGAAGAGTTTTGCAAGTGTTTTTCTCTGTATCAATAACAGTAGCGATCACTACAGAAGAGTTTTGCAAGTGTTTTTCTCTGTATCAATAACAGTAGCGATCACTACAGAAGAGTTTTGCAAGTGTTTTCTCTGTATCAATAACAGTAGCGATCACTACAGAAGAGTTTTGCAAGTGTTTTTAGTTCTCATAAATGGAATAGAATGACCGAATCAACATGCGAGTGAAACTCAACAAAACACAGTTATAACTTATTGATACACTAAGAACGTATACCACATATCAAGTTAAAACTTGCTGATGCGCTAACAACGACGACAATCTGTTAGTACGTAGACTCGTACACTAACAACAACAATAATCCAATACTAAACTCAATATGGTATTATCAGGTGTATTCTGTTACAGTGTTAAAAAAAAGGAAAACATTAAGTTTTTTTGTTAATAACGTTTCGCATTATTCCTAAAGTTTAATCAAAATAGCGTATTATTTTCATAAGAAACGTTTCGAATGTGACGAGTTATCATTATACAAGGGACAACGATTTTAAATCGATTTTTACACTAACACTGTATGAGTTATAACGTCGATAATTTCGGAGTGTTTATGTTCTACAGCGTTATAACTATCCATTCTGCATTTGATTATTATGACGCTAGATGTCGCATCACACAACTTCTGCTTTGATCTCCTAACAATGGACACAAAGCTGACAGTATTCCTGAACAAAACAATATGACATAAATTACTCTAATTACCTCAATATCAATATAAGCTATTATTCAAAAAGCTGACAAAGCTACACAGCGGTCTATCTCAATATCTGTTGTGCCTTGCTCAACGCGAGTATTGAAACCCCATTTTTAACGTTCAAAGCCCGCGCTGAGTATAATAATTACCTTAATATTTGTTTGTTTGTTTTCATTTTCGCGCAAAGCTACACGAGGGCTATCTGTCCCTAGCCGTCCCTAATTAGCAGTGTAATACGAGAGGGAAGGCAGCTAGTCATCACCACCTACCGCCAACGCTTGGACTACTCTTTTACCAACGAATAGTGGGATTGACCGTCACATTATAACGCCCCCACGGCTGAATGGGCGAGCATGTTTGGTGGGACGGGGATTCGAGCCCGCGACCCTCAGATTGCGAGTCGAGCGTCCTAACCACCTGGTCTACCTTAATATTAATAAATGTAGTTCTCTAACACTATTTTTGTAAAAAACAAACAAACAATAATAAGATTACTCAATAACAATTCGGTACGGGTTACCTTACTTATAAATGAAAACTGTATCCATAAAGCTATTAAAATATCAAGCCTGCCAATAACAATCGCACGATATTCAACTAAGACTAAAATCAACTGACAGTATACATTTGCTCAATTAATGTTGTTTCTCCGAAGAATATGTATCGCCTGGAACGCAGATTTGGGATACCTATACTTCCGGAATTCATTCTAAGAAAACCCAGAACCTCCTTATATTACAAACATTCAGAAGATATTCAGTTGAGATGCAACATCCCAAAAACAGGATTTACTATAGTTCTCAGCACTAATATTTTCCAGTAAAATTTCGTGTTCATACCTTTTCCCCAATTATTAATATGTTCTGTACATGTAGTACTATTACTCACTGCTTTGATATAAAACGCTTTTATTTTCGCAAAATCCATTTAGACCCTCATATCTGCAGTTTCTGTCAGGCCTAGCTTCAAGTAATTTGTAGCAGGTTTTTTATTTTTTATTCCCTTAGTGCATGGTAACTGATGCTTTTGAATCTATTTAATTTTTTTAAATCTAAGCCTAATGTAAGATGTAGGTAGAAAGTCAAAGCTGTGAAAAAAATATCATGAAAAGCCGAGGATTACAATTCATATAAACCCCATCTAGTGTTAATAACTGTAAACAAAATAACGACATACGCTATAAAGCGCGCTCTCATCCAACCGGGTGTTTCGAGAACGATTTGCCCCTATGACTGGCCAGCGTCTTTCGAACACTGTTGTTTGAATTACAGGTGATAAGCGTCCTCTATTTCCGTTTAGAAAATACAACAATACCAGCCGTACTTCCTCTGTTTCCTAAACTTGACTTTATTTAAACTAACGACTTTATTTTGATGAAATCTTAAGCCTCCATGTCAACATAACCTAATTTTCGAAATTAAAATATCCGTTTTTTATAATTCGCTAATAAACGATTGCAATTTTTTCTAGAAAATTTACTGTTTTTTCTTTAATCTAAAAGGTATAATTATCAGTAAAACGTTTTTCTTATTAAATTTTATCATATTAAAGTGAACACAATTTGTAGCTTTATGGTTGGTATTTATTTTTAAAACGTTTTTAAAATACAGAAATAAACGGTAACTAAGAAAACCAAAAAACTGAAAATGTCGTACAAATCTTTGTGTAGTATCTAAAAACAACATCTGGTTATCAATTACTTGTAACACTTTAAAGATAAAACGTTATTAGATGAGTAACCCTAACAACGTAACAAATGTAGTGATACCGCTTTCTTTAAAGATGGCAGCACAATAAAAAAATTTATTCATAGATATCCCAAAATAGACTATATACGACATTAGGGTTCAGAAAATGTCATATTGGAACAGTCAATGATCAACAAAAGTAATCTTAGATCCCTTTAACAGTTAACTTTGATTGTTCATATAACATGATCTTTTACTTTGATTTCTGTTTTTAATTTACCTTAAACTTTACTATTATTCTACAAAGTAAGTATATTGTTACGTCTCCGTTTGTTAATTAACTTTCCGTAACTTCGTTCCGACGAAATTTTAACGACACAAGTCTTTACTTAATAAAACTGGTTTATTCTTTCCGAATATAACTTTACGATACACTTAATTTCAATATTCGCGCTAAAACAAACACTATAACGAACGAACGTTACAGGGTATTGTTGAAGTTTAATTGAACTGCAGTCCTCACTATCTCCACACACAATATTCCCCGTCACGTTGTCACCCTCTTTTATATACCAGACTACCCTGTATCTAGTAAATACTAGAGCATTCGCCAAGGTACAGGATAGTTCTAGAAAATAGGTGGCGCGACACCAGTCACGTGACCTCGATGACGCAATAATATCGTTCATAAGGAAGCCCTGATTTAAAACAGGTTCGTAGTTTATTTTCAAAAATCAAACCTAAGGTTGTTTTTTTTGTTTTTTTTCATAAATCCACAAAATATTTTTTACATATCGAAATATGGAACAGGGAATACAGAGAGAGTAAGATATTTTTTTCGAAAACCCAGGCAACGCCGGGTAATGGTACTAGTTTATAAAAAGTTATCTTCACTACCCAGTTAAGCTAAAATAATATTAAACAAACATTAATATATTAATGCGGTTACCATTATATATGTTTAGTTTGGAAAAGTTCATAAATTATACCTATTGTTACTGATTTTAAAAACAAAGAATTAAAGTAATAGTCAAAAAGTGGATGCTTTTATTATGATCATCAAGGTCCTGAAAACTACATAGAAATACTGATTGTATCATTATTATTATTCAAATTACTACAACAAGCTTAACCAAAGTATTATCAGTATTGAACCATCATAGTAGTTAGTGGGAAAAAACATATTTGAAATCATCTTTGCTTTGCATTTAAGTATTCCGCCTTGTACACTGGTGGACGAGATATTTTTTTGCAGATTCCAATGCCATTTGGGTTGTCAGTTGTGTCACAGTACAGACCTTCGCCACACTTCGTCAATTTCTTGCCGCCACATTTTTCTCCATCAGCCTATTTTAAAACGTTATATATCAGTAAGTATCCATACAATAAACACGCTTTTCAGATTTATATAGAATTTTATATCTTAACTAATTTTTTTCGAACTTGACACTCTTTATAGTAAAATATGTATATATACCAGAGCCGTTTCCTTTGATTTTATGCATAATAAACATTTCAAGCGAGTTTTTTTTTTTTTTTTCGTTAGTGTAGTTCAATTAACGTGGTAGTTCAGTTTGAACGTCATTTGTAAACTTAGGCCTACAAGTTACTACTGAGTAAAAGTGATACCAATACAAGCCAACGTTAAGGAAGGAATAAACTAATTTGTTATCGTTGGTCTTGTAGTTTTTTTCGTTTGTTTTTGTTGTTGTTAGAATTTTATTACTTTCAGTAATACCTTTTCTGCAGTCCATAAAAGTAAATAAAACTGTGCTTGAAGGTCGCATAAGCAGTTTAATTAATCCTCAAGTCAGTGATTTGTTTTATATCGTTCACTACCAGTGGGGTCCATATATTTTTATGTGAAATAATTAAGACACTCCAACAGAAAATAGTGCTATTAATGACAATATTGGTAGTATATTTGTTTGCACAATAAAATCATAGGTCTACAAGTCATCTGTTGCTTTGTTTGTTGTTCAACACAAAGTTACACAATTTGCTATCTGTGACCTCCCCCCCTCCCCGCTGATATAAAAACCCAAGTTTTAGCGTTATAAGCCCTTAGATTTTACGATGAGCTATCGCTGGGCACCATTTGTTGTAAAAAAAAGAGTTTAGAAAAAAACATATTCATAAAGCCTAGTAACATAGAATCACAAAAAGTGAACAAAAATGCTAATAACATTGCAACTAATCCTGCTAATTACTGCTGCAAATTTAGATATATTCTACAACGAGTAATTTTTGGTCGGCTTTTTACAGTAAATGTAGTGAAAAAAACACCAAATTACTTCCTATGATTTATGCAATATATATATGGACCCCCACCGGTAGAAAACGTAACTAAGTCAGTAATATGCGAGTTAACATGAAGTATGAACAGTTGGATTATCTGCACTGTGTCTATTACAGGGATTGAACACTAACATTTAGTGCTATAAGTCCTCAAATTTACCAATGAGCCAATAGGGGACAAATTATGTAAGTTTAATTTTTTTCAGTCTAAGTTACTTTATGGGTTATCTGCGTTCTGTCCAGTTATAAAAGGATTAGTGACTACGACTTGGCAAAGCATAATATTGAATTGGATAAACATAAGTCACAAACTTAAATTTTGCCGTATATTTCTACCTGCATACATTTTTAAAGATACTTTAATTTCTAAAACAGGTTACTTAATCAGTCTTGTTATATTATACTATATTCTCACATGGGTTTTTATCTTTTTGAAAGCAAATATTTTATTCTACAGCGTTTAACTTTTTCTATCATTAATTCATGCAATTAACATGCATTTTATCTCAACTCCAAAGTATCCTTACCTAATGGTTTATTATTCTTAATTAGGAACTATGAATACGGTTTCATCAAGAATTTCTGGATTTGGTTTACTATAATTAGTCAAATTCATGATATATAATTACATTACCTTGGCACAGACCTGACAACAATCACATTGGTCTGTTGTTACTCCAGCTTTGCAAGGCTTTATCGGCTGAGAACAGCTAGAAAGCTCACAAGGTTCAACACATGGATCATCCTGGTCTCCACTAAGTTGAAAATTCACATAAAAAAGTACGCATCATTAATAAGATAAAATAAGTTAATGTATGCCGCAATAGATATTGTTCAAAATGTATATGTGGCACCATCTGTTGAAAATATTAAAGAAAAAATATAACTTCCACACGCAAAAAAAAAAAGAGAAAAAATATTCTAGTCTATATACGATTAAATACATTACATTTAGTCGTCACGAGGCCCCCTCCCCCAGTGGCCCAGCGGTATGTCTGCGGACTTACAACGCTAGAATCCGGGTTTCGATACCCGTGGTAGGCAGAGCACAGACAGCCCTTTGTGTAGCTTTGTGCTTAACTACAAACAATCGTCACGAGGTTTATATGTGACGCCGTCTGTCGTAAAATCAAATAAAAATATAATTTCCACACATACACACAAAGTCACATTATATTCTATGTGTGATAAAATACACCAAGAAATAACATTATACGTTTACCAGATGGAGCCACAAAAGCTTCTAACTTAAGTGGAAGAAAGATTTGGTTTCTAGATGCATCGTCTTCTCTTGCAATACATGTAGAGTTCAGAATAGGAATAAGAAATGGCCAAAGTTGATATATATTTACATAAATAATTTTAGGGTTATATTAAAATTATCTTTACAGTATTTTTCAGGACAGAAAATTATAAAGAACCAACGAAATATGTAAACTTACTTTCACACGGGGGGGGGGGGGGCTGCCGAAGGATCTACCTATTTTTTATGTAAAACAATGTGCTTATATAGTTATAGCGCAGCTGCTTATGGTAATGAACGTAATATTGCATACAAATCTAACATTAATGTTAGCATGCCACGAGATAGGCAACGACAAGCCTAACGTGCAAATACAGAATATAGTTCCTTGGAAGATTACTGTAAGAAAACAGTAACCATTCCTTTTCCTGACCACAATATCAGTAATCTTTCCTCCAGATTTGATATACATGTAAAGCAAGCAACATCAATTCAGAAACTTATGTCACCAAACTCACACAAGAGTTTTCTATCTCTGATATCAGACAGGCTATAGTTTTTACAAAGAAGATTTGCCAAATCCCGATTTTTTTTATTTTTTTTTTGACGAAGAACTTCATCGATTGACGATAAGATGACTTTCTATTCCTCTCCAGGTAGTACCAAATATCTTTATGTTTGCCACACTGCCACTACGTTCATGTGAATGTTCGGAATCTGTTCTCCGCCCGTTGAACAATTATCTGAGGTGTACACAAACCGAAGAAAGACTGAGTGTTCTAACTTTCATAATCATTATGACACTGAAACTGAATGTAAGTCATTTATGGAAAAATACCACAGAAGAATGGTGCATGCTAACACGTTATTTCAGTAGTGCATACATTTACGTATATGATAACCAATGATTGTAATAGCTAATATACTATTGCTGTACAGAGCTGTTTAGATTAGTGACATAAGTTAACAATTAATAACTACTATGCAAGTAGATAATACAGTACTTTAATTAATTATCAGGCCCGTACGCAAAATGTTTGAAAGGGGTTCAAATTTGTGAGATTAAAAACCAACACATATTGTGCAAAGCATAATCAGCATGCTAAAAAAAAATAGGTGCTATAAGATTAAATCTGTAAGCAGTTTTTTACGAAATATAACTTAAACAATTGTATAAATGTTCACAATAATCCCAAAACATGCAACGAAAAGTCAACAAATCATCATGTTGTAACGATGCATAGGGAGACAGACTTTAATTACCATAAATATGTATGTTTTATTATAAGTTGTGTGTAACGTTTTCAAACAAGTTATATAGTCAATATTAATTAATTAAAGCTGTGTCTAATAGTTTTCTGTAGGCCTAACCGAAATAATTGACAACTTTATTTGCACTATCGACATAATTAGTTTTTTGCTCTAACCAAGACTGTTATTTTGCCAAATTAATATGGTTCATATTAACAAGAGCCTAGTTTACTGCTGGTTGTTATAGTCCCAGTTACACTTGTAAGAATTCACAGGAAAAAGAAAATCCTGTGTGTGTGTGTGTGGTCCTGACCCTAGGTATTAAAAGTAATTCATACCCAAAAGAGTATTTGTTTTCGGATATTCTTGCAAAGCTATCCGTCCCCAATTTTAAACAGATACCCAAGATTTCCGGCTGGCCTATCAGTCAACAGCATCCTTTGCCAACTCTTGGGCTACTCTAATCGAAGTTGGATTTTTACAGTCACTCTTATAACGCACCCGAGAGGCTTCAAAGGCGCAATTTTGCATCAATGGTGCGAGAACCGTGGATCTTAGAATTTGCAGTCCAACACGTTAACTAATAGGCCACGCTTAGCTCATATAACTATATGTGAACGGAGTTTGCCATACGGTACATTTTTGTAAAGTACTAGCAGCCACAGAAGATCAAAAAATAGTAGAAATTCAAACTTTAGCCATAACACAGTGTTTGCATCAATAGACATTACAAAATAAAATTATGTTATATTATTTTACTAAGTACATTAGTTTTTTAATATTTGACGTTTAAAATTGTTATTTTGTTTAATGAACTGTTACGACAGTGGAAGTCGCGCGACGCTTGGAGCATGCGCTGGAGTTCTAGAAAGATCGTGACTGTTCCGCGCAACTCTAGGCTTTTCTATGCATGCTATGTTCTCTTATATAAGCCGGCAAATAAAGTGACGGCGGAAAGATAATTGCAGACCAATTGCAGACCAGTTGGCACACCAATAGAAACAGTAGCCGTTGACATTGCTGATCCTTTGCCCCAAACTCGTGCTGGAAACAGGTACATTTGTACGCAATACCAAATCAGGAAGCTACAACTGTAGCTTCGGCTATTAGTGATTTCTTCTTCAGATTTGGTATGCCATAAGAACTGCATTCAGATCAAGGCCGTAACTTTGAATCAGCTGTGTTTCATGAATGCTGCAAGTTGTTTGGCATACGAAAGACCAGAACTACGCCACTTCCCCCACAGTCTGATGGGATGGTGGAAAAGTACAACTGGACATTGGGACAGGAAGGAATTGGCAAAGTTTTGTAATAGCCGTCAGGATGACTGGGATGTCT